AATCATTCCCAACGATTTTAAGCGATGTGAAATTGCTGGTTGAGTCACTCCTAATGTAAGTGCAAGTGCTTCTTGCGTTTGGGACGAATCTTCATCCAATAATGCTTCCAATTCTGCGTCTTCATACACTTTCGGCCTTCCGTTACGTTCTTTGTCTTCGACGTCAAATTCACCGTTCTTAAACTTTTGAAACCACTCACGGCAACTTCTCTCACTTAAGGTAGCCTCACCATATGCTTTTACAAGCAATCGATGCGCCTCAGCTGCAGATTTCTTCAAATTAAAGAAGTAAATGAAAAGCTACGCAAATGATGCTTATTCGGCTCAAAACTCGACATTTTCGCACGAAAAAAGATTAAGATGCTGATGCAAAATCGCTAATATTTCAAGGTTATGTTCTTGCCAGATGTCCAACCTTATGATATGACGTTTTACAGCTGACAATTTTAACTATAACATACTGGTAGCGCCATTGTTTGTCAAACGGCGGAAACTTATTTATACTCCCAATAATAAATTAGAATACTTTTAATATGACATGCTTCAATCTCCATTTATTTTAGACCTCGTACCGACTGTCATCTCTCGTCAGAGATCGCATATGGTCCGGTCCCGAATTATAAGGATTAAGTTTCTTGACTCAAAATTCGGATCGACATTCGTATTGCTCGTTGGAAACAGGTGTTAAAGCGTCCTTCAGGACGTTGGCCCATATTCCAGAGCTATAAAAGGTGCGTTCATCGCGTGGTTTTATTTCTGTGGACGATTAAAGCGAACAACCTTTGTATTTTTTGCAAAATGGAAAAAAAACGAGTTCCGTGCAGTGATCAAACATCTACATATGAAAGGTTTAACGCCGAAAGAAATCAAAGCCGAGTTGGATAATGTTCATAGCACATCTGCACCAGCGTTTGCAACTGTATACAATTGGGTGAATGAATTTAAACGTGGTCATACATCCACATGTAATGCACCTCGTTCGGGACGTCCAATTGCAGCTGCTATGCCAGAAATCATCCATATAGTCCACGATATTGTTTTGACTGATCGACGAGTGAAAGTGCGCGAGTTTGTTGAGGCACCGATTCAATGAATTCCGCTACGAATTGCTTCCCCGTTCAACATATTCGCCAGATATAGCCCCCTGCGACTATTTTCTGTTTCCAAACCTGAAGAAATGGTTCGGAAGAAAGAGATTTATTATCAGAGAGCAGCTCATCGCCGAAACAGAGGCTTATTTTGAAGAGTTGGACAAATCATATTATTCGGACGGCTTGAAAAAGTTGAAGAATCGTTGGATCAAGTGTATCGGGCTGAAAAGAGACTATGTTGAGAAATAAAAATAAATCGATGAAAAAAAATTTTATTGTATTTTATTGTATATTTTTCTAAAAATTTATTGACTTGCCCTCGTACATTTCAAGTACTGAATTCCTTCAGAGCAACTCCGAGCAGCTCTCGAGAGACAAAACGAATAATGCTAATAAACCATAGAATGAGTTAAACAAGAGAAGCCTCTTTATCCTATATGTAAAAAGAACTACAGACCGAATTATCAATAACATTCAGAGACTTTTCCAAAGGAATTCAAGGATTTTGAGTGATTTTTTGAAAATCATTTATCTGATATTCGAATGTATTAACAGAACAATTTATGAAATTTTTATATTTTTACTAATGTTTTAATGTAAAACCCGTACATCCTTAATTATGAATTTTGCAAATATCACATGAGTATTTTGAAAACAAATTATCACTTGTTATTTTAAAGGTACGATTATCAAAAAATTAATAATTTACGAGATATTTAATATTTTATGTCAATATATGCCAAAATGAAGTATAAAATATCTCATAAACACTACAGGTTGAGAACTCTCAAACAAATCCTCTACCTTAATATGTAGAATAATATATTAGGGGAATCGTACTATGTAAAGAAAATTATATTCATTAAAAGAAATAACTTTTATATCTTTTTAATGCTTCCATCTAGAAGAAAAACAACATAACTAAAATATATTTCCCCTCGAAACCGTTCTACTTTTGTTTGAAACATTTTTTTTTAAATAAAAACGATTTTGGGAGTGGTAAATTTAAATGAGTGACCCTATATATAATATACATTACTGTACGTATATATATGACACGTTTGCATTACGAAATTTTCATAAGTTTAAGCATCGACGAGATAATATTTAAGACTGACATCCTTACGGGAGTTCTCGTTCTAATTAATATTGAAGTGATTAAGAGTAAAAAACTGATAACATTGTACTATGCATTAATACGTATCTGGAAAGTAGAATCTATGCTGAGAACGATTGAAAAATTCAAGTCAAGTCGTGATAATATTTGCTTGATATGAAAGCTTTGCAATCTGTACGTACGAAATAGTGGTTCCCAAACTTGTAGTTTACACGAACAAACAACGTCGAGTTCTTAAAATTAGACTTAGACTTTATCGCAACGAATTTGTTATACGAAAATTGATACAAATTTGCGACTGCGTGTATCATAGGTTGCGTGAGATATCAATGTGGTAGTATATAAAGATATGTCGATGCACGTAGAGTCCCTCTAGTAAGCAGTCAAGTCATAAGGGGTACCGATCTCAAATTTCGAGTCCCTTTACTTTCCACAACTTTCGATTGGTAATGAATTTGTGTGAACAACTGTTTCAGGTGTAGAAGATTTCGCGAACGCGAAATCGGACTATTAACTGTCAACCATGGTGGAATTATGCTGTTTTCGGCCACTCGATGACGTCTTTCCGGTCTTATGTCTTAACTCTTACAAAAGGAACTCTAGATGTGCAGCGCGTGGCGCAACCTCTAATGATTTCGTCGGAGTTCGAGCTTTAGGATCCCCTTAATAATAGCAAATTTATATAATATCAATTGTCGATAATGTCAGTGTTTTTCAATTATCTCCGGGCTTTTAGAACCTTTTTATACTACCGAAAATTTGCCCAGGGTTGACGGTCTTTAATAGTATCTCGTCGGTGATTTAAGCAACGTTTTACTCACATTTCCGATTTCAATTTGTATCGTTTTTGCAGTGTGATACACTGCTTCTTTATCACCTATATCGCAGCAATACGTCCAACATTTTCCACCAATTTTTTTAATCTGCTCTGCAACTTCCGCAAGACCTGTATTTACCATTTATGAATATATTTACGTTTAATATATAATATATATCTTAATATTTATCGGAAAAAAATTAAATTATGGTAAATGTGTGATTTCGAATATCATACAGACATATTCGGAAATGTTCCATTTGACCATGTTGCAATTGATCACAGCCACTCACAGCGACCGATGCCTATAGAATTTACCTACGAGTGTAATGAGTGGCTTGTGGTTAATCGATATAAGGTAACTAGGCCCAATTTGAGTCCTTTTCCAAAGTGGGCCACTCGCTATTTGTATAGAATTATATGATTAATTTAATAGATGACAAAAAAAAGTAATTCGAGCAGGCGATCCGTACAACTCGATTGCATTGATTTATAAATCATATTATTCATTTTGTTTGTGTAAGAACAGGAAAAACTGCAGATACGTCGTGGTTGTGATGTAATATTCCGTAAGCAAATAATTGCTTTCTATAATTATGAATGATCATAAACATGATCATTAATTTCCGTAGTTCATGTTATTGTAGCTCTATATTCATACTTTACAACACTATCTTTAGTTTATATTTTTGCCACAACGTTTTGTTTATAAAGAAAAGGAATTCTTAGTACGGTAATATCCGAGCATATGCGTAAGTGTGACATTTGTCACAAATATGTTCATGAAGATTGTGTGGAATTAATTAAAAATGATAAAGGGCTTTTTACTTGTCTGAACTGCAAGTAGATCTCCATAAGCACAGTTTTAAGAAGGAGAAGTTAATACAGATATTTAATGTCTAAATTGCTAAATAGGTTTTTTTAAATGTTTATACATCAATATATTTATGCAATACAATAATAAAAGTAATGTTGGATTACTTTATTTTCCATATTTTTAATATTTTCGTATGAAAAAGGGAAGATGTATACGCAGTTCACGTTGGGTACATATTTTGCTAAGATGCTTCAAATGCTATCTTTCTTTTATAAATCTTTATATAAATATTTGAATATGATTCATTTTTTTTTCAATGTTCAGAAATGTGTTTCCTCTTTTAAATGTGACCATAATTTTCAATTTTGACCTTACCAAAAGTTAAAAAAATTCTTAGGAATCCCACATTGGACCTGGTTACCTTATATATTGTAAAGATAGACTAACGACTGTTAAAAGTACGTATCAAGACTGTCAATTTTCTTTCTCTAAGTAAGATTTTACTCCAAAGAATTTAGAGTGTTAATATCTCGATATAAATTATTTTGTTGGCATTATGCTATAGAAGTTCTGTCAGTGTATACTTAATTTATAAGAAATTCACATTGTATTATTTATGTCGGAGAACTGAAGTCATATATATATATTATCAATTACACTGTGTATCCGATTTCAACCTTTAAAATTTTGCAAAGACTATGGGTTTGATTGTTGAGGATACGGCCATTTATTATTTCCCTAAGGAATTTGACAAACCTAGTAAGAAATGATTGTTAATTCGACTTCGAACGGATGTCAAATCGATGTCGAAATCATCAATTCGACGTCGAACTGATGTCGAAATTATTAATTCGACGTCGAATCGATGCCGAAATTATTAATTCGAAGAGTTATTTCTGTAACTATAGTACTCAAAATTAAATCATCTGTTTCATCCTGCAAAAATAGGCAAATTTTAAGATAGAAAAACTTTGCCAAAAATCATTGTATCAAGATGTTTAAAAAAAAATATTTTAATGAGCATTTTAGCAACTTGAAATTTCTATTTTTCAGATTTCTATTTACTTTAGAAAATGGTCTTATTGATCTTTTATGGAGTTACACAAACATAAATAAAAATGCAACAAATTTCAAAATTTTTTATGAAATTTGCAAAGTCCACGGCGCGAATTAAAAATTATATACAAATACGGTTGAAAGCATTCGAAAGATTGAATCTTTACCTTTAAGTTGCTTTTTTATTCAGCTCTCAATTTTTTTCACCGAGTTTTTCAACATTAAAGCAAAAACGATCTTTTTTATCTAGAAATTTTACTAGAAATTTTAAAATAAAATTGATTATTAAATTAATAATTTCTCCCCAAGTAGAATTTTATTTTATTCTATTTATTTTTCCATGTTTCATTCGTAATAACCAAAGTTCGCACATGCTCCTATATCTATAGTTAAAGGATTATAATATTTATTAAATATTTTCATAATATTCATAATAAACTTTTATAATCTGTGCAATTTAAACACACAAAAATATTATATGCTATCCAGATAATAATAAAATATGAAAAAGAAAATAAGAAATTTATAGTCAGCGTAGAATAGAATATTAACTGTGAAATAATTTTTTCTGAAATTAAGAGGAGCTATGAGTCAATGTAATAAAACGTAACTATACAGGTACATGGCTGTTGTCAAACTGAGCATCGTGAGTAATGTGAAGGTATATATAAACAATATTATTATAGAGAAATAAAAAACATTAGTATATTAATCTATTCTTAACTATACTATACTGTGATCTTATAAAATTATAATATTTACAATAATTATGTTATTTTTTATAAACAAATACCAAAAAATTGCATATGAATGTATTTAGTACATAGTTCTTATTATATTATCCACGCTTGTGAACAGGTTGAAATCCAATACAAGAGATTTATTATTATTTAAAACCCTATTAGGGGAAAATGGAGGAATTATGCATACTTAAGGGGATTCTAAAGTCTCCTGTTTTACCACGTAAGCACGTATAATTTTTGTGTAAGAAATACTTTTTCTGTTTTTCACCGATTCGAAAATCCTTTTCCAGAATTAAAGTATATACATTAATACGTGTCTGGAAAGTGGACTCTATGTCAAGAATAATCAAAAATTTGAAAATTGATACATTTTTTATCATTTCTTAGTGTAACTAAGAACATGGCGTCTCAGCTGTCAAACCGTGACAACATTTGCTTGATACAAAAGCTTTACAATCTGTACGTATATAATAATTCCCAGACACGTAGTTTACACGAAAAAACAACGAGTTTTTAGAATTAGAC